CAAAAGCCTGATACAAGACCACAAAAAGCAGAAAATAGTGTTGATGAGAGATGAAAACAATCCCAGATGGGTGGCTCATTCTCTGTTTCATCTTAGTCAAACAGTGTAGCTCACTTTGCTAAAACAACGCATATTTGCAAAATAAAATTATATATATTTGCCTCATTTAGCAGAGCTTACTGCCAAGGATAATTGCACACTAGAAAAAGTCAGACTTAGAGTTATCTTTTAATTTGATAAGCGACAACAAAATCTTCTACAGGTAACGAAACATAATATAAGCCCAGCAAGACAACCTAGCTTGCCTTGATACAAGCACTGTGTCTCGGCCGACAAATTAGGGTTCCTTTTTTGGTCCCTTGTCATATTTGGTGAGAATAGTCAAGTAAATGAAAGTAAGGCAATCTCTCTTGCAGCTGACAGCTGAGAAACAGATCCACATACCTCTATAAAGAACCTGGAAATAAGATCGGTGTGGTGGTCGAGTTGTCGGAGGTATCAAATTTCAAACTTGCACTGTTTTGTCCTGGTTTAAATCCTCCAGGTGTATATTTTCGCCATTATTTATTATATCTAACTTTTGTTTTAGTATATAAGGCACAAGAACCTAATTTGTGCGATGCTTCACCTTTAGAAGCGTTTTAATTATACTGTGTGGCATCCTAGCGCCCCATAATAGGTTCTCGGTGAGAGCAGTTTTCAATGTTTTTTTTCTTGCTGTCGCTGCTGCTGGTCTTTTCATCCTTAAACATTTGACAACTCGGCACAAATGCAAGAAAAAATGTGTTCGAAATGTACTGCGCATGCGCGGCTGCGGCGCAGGCTCTCTGTGCAGCAGGCGAACTAGCCCGCACAGAAAATCACGATGGGAACCCATTTAAAAAAAAAGGCTGCAGCGTATCGTTTGATGGCGCAGGTGCACGTATTTTTCACGTCGTTTTTTTACAGTGCGCTTTTCGGCGAGGCATGCGCCTGTCGTAAGTGATCCGTAAAGCCAGCGGGACTCCATATTTTACTCCATCATGTTACACAACCGACAGAAGCCCAGAGGGATATCAGTGTTATCAGGCGCATTTAGGAAGGGCATTCTCGAAAATAGGGCTCGGTCCCTGTTGAAAAATCTCCTTTGTATGATAAATATCTTTATCCAATAAACACATATGAATCATAATATATAAATAAGAAAACATAAGAAATCTAGAGGAACTATATAACTATATATTATTTAGAACATATGAGAACCTTATAAGGAACTTGTGAGAATTTTCTTATCAGTTTCTTTTATAGTTCTTATATGGGTCTTAGATTTTCTTATATATATTGTATGGTTCGTATGTGTTATTGTGCACAAGAAATATCATAAAAAATCGCGCTTTCACTGCCGATGATCGCTGTCGAAAGTAAAAAAAGTGGAGGTGTACATGAATCGGCCATTGGCGATTATGGCAGCAGCGCCTCTAAGGTGCAGGAAACTATGAACTGCTTCCTGCTAAAAAAAAAAAAAAAAAGATGCTTCTTGAATCGGTTAATGAAACTCAAAGGACGTAGAATAAAAAAAAAATATGTTGTATGAGGAGCGGCCTGAGGAAGGCATTGATGAATATCAAAGATTCCTTCGGGCAACAGCGCAAGCCACAACACGTTAGGCGATCCCGATGGCAGCGCCGGCATCTCACAGCGAAAAATCTGTAAAGTTGCCAGACACGCGAACAATTCACCGCCAACTGCAAAGAGAGGGGGGGGGGGGGGGCATGTTGCTCGAAGCTGCATGGGCGGAATGCGTTTGTGCAGCTTCGAGAAAAATGCTCCCCCCCCCCCCCCCCCTCCCAACCTGGGATGTCTACTTGAGCGCGGCGCAAAATGATGACGTTGAACTATCGCGTAATGCGCATTCAGAGGGAAAAGGGGGGAATTTGGCTTTCTTGTGAATAACTTTTATAGAGCGGCATGATGTGGTCGTTCTCAACACGCTCTCCATCTTTTTTATTAGGGTGTTTGCACACAAACTAACATTGTAAAAACGTTTGATAAACAATTGGTGGTAACTAGCCAGTTTCGCACACTGCAAACAAATATCCCGATTTGTTAGAAGTACTTGTGATCACTACCTTGACGCGCACCGCGTACATCAGCTCCTTCTAAGTATTGACAAATATAACAGAGAGGGTCCTTAAAAGACAAAGAATGCAATACGCAAAGAGCGACCCTTTAGATTTTTTTAGAAGCTGTTAGGCGGTCGTTTAGCCACTAAATTTAGCAGAATAACTAAATTTATACATATGTCACGGTATGCCAATTTTTCCGCTAAATTTAGCCGGGAAACTGGATTGGCGTTTAAACCACGTTAGCCAAGTCACGTGACGTCAATGATCCCACGTAATTAGATTAGGGAACCACCTAACCCCGCTAGGAACTGGGATTAAGATGTTTTTGGGAAAGAACAATCCAAGCTATAAAATCGTGGTCCCCCTTAGCCACAGCCGCTATGACCTTGCACCACAGAAAATGCCCGTTGTTCGATGCTCACATGATGACGACATGATCCGCTGACATTCCTCAAGTATATCCGAAGCATGTTTACTTGGCACATGTGCATGCTTCGAACACGTCTGCAGATGTGTTTGTTTAATTAATGTGATATGACTATCTTAATACAAGAAATAGAATTTACGAGAAGCTCTCTACAAATAGGCTAATCCTATTGTATGTGAGCGTTTTTCACGCGGTTAATCGGCGCCCACGTCCATCGAAGGCCGCGCAGTATCGCCAGGTCGAATAGGCCTAAAAACATCGAACAACAATCGAAAATCCCCTAGTTACAGGATATCAGTTCCGAACAAAGAACGATATTTTGAGGTTAAATGCTTCGTGTTTTAATTTCATGCTCAGGAAAATTATCTGTCTAGCCTGAAACAGTTGTATAGATGTTTACACAAGCGCCAGATTAGAGCGGCCATTGCTGAACTTCTCTTGTCTTATCGACATTCGGAGCCACTGAAGTGGGCGCTGACGCGCCTCCAGAAAGGTAACTGCTGGTGAGGAGAACATACTAGAATCTAAAATGGAATTATTATATCCTGCTGCGATAATGAGAGAGTGAAGTAAAAAAAAAATACTGGTAAACAAAAAGTGACGGTCGGTTATGGCGGCGCCCATGCACAGCTGCTGTGAGGTTTTTGTAACATGCTGCATCTTCTTCGCGGTGCCCGACTCAGATGTTGGAGAGGGCGTGCCCGGGCGTCACGCACGATTCTGACAGGTATCTTCCTTGGAAGCCACTTCCGGCGTCGACGCGCCGAGATACCGCCGAGACAGACATCGGCGCCTCGCGCGCGTCGGTTTGATGCCGTTGCGGTGACCTTAAAATACGCGCCCCGACGCAGGGAAACGCCGACGCGGATGAGACAATCGGAAAATGTTCTCATGTTACAAGGGTATTATAAGAGACTCCTCGTGGGGCGTCGCGTTCGGCTCCTGCCATTCTACGAAATGCCCATGAACTGGGACCGTTCAGCTATGGTGCCTGGAGCGCGTTTTCGACTGGTGTGTTTAGCGTCCTATCCCGCCCAAACATCAAAAGTAATCCCAAAGTGGCAACAAATGACGTCACATAAGTCGGAGTGTCATGTTGTTGCCTGTCGCGATCCTGGCGGTTGGTCGTAGAAATGCTAATGAACAGCACGAGCGAACGCGAGTGTCGCTGTCGTCACAGAGTCCCAGACGTCCCAACTACCGGCTGCTTTAACTTCCGTGGACTGTCACAGTGGAGAGCGACCTACAGCAGAACAGGCGTCTGGCATACACACCACAACTGTTGAAACGCCACCAGGTTCGCGATCGGCGACAGCATGACACTTCTATGACGTCATCAGGCGGAAATCGAGGGACCACTTTTTTGGAGACGGTAAACACACCAGTCGGAGACGCGTTCCAGGCACCATAGTTCAGCTTGAACGTCGTTCGAAGTTGCCAGATGGGGCCTTGAATGGTCCAAGACGAGGAAGGATCTACCCTCCCTAGCGTTTGCCACCCGCACCGCACCGTGAGCGCTGTGCTGCAAATCTGGGAAGCGTATCCGAAAAAAAAAGAAAAGAAACTGTAAACGTCTAAACTTCTCTGTAATGCAAAATAAGAGCGCAGCTTTTGAGTTATGTTTATTTTCTGATATACCCGGCGAGAAATATGTGTATGTAACAGGAGGAGAAGGGTATAGTGGGGGCCCTGTTTGAGGGCGGCGAGAGGCTCTGATTGAGGCCGCGGTTACGCCGACGGCGACGCCGCTTCCCGCTTTATTTAACGGGGACACTTAGTTGATCTTGAGGTCATGTCGCTCCAATATTCCCGTTAAATGTTCCGGAGAAACTGACTTTCTGTAAAGTTTGCGTCACACGAAGTCAGGTGACATAAATTTCCCGCTAAATTTAACCTGGAGACTTAATTAGTGTTGAGGTTACGTGACACACTTTTTCCCGCCCAATTTAGTGGGGAAATCGACGTCGCGGCGGTTACGCCGACGACAGTACATCCGGGAACAGATGCTCTAAGAGCTGCGCTCTAAGCCTTGTGCAATAAGTCACCCAGCCAATTTTCGTACTCTGTCGTGCATTCATGAACGTAACATTGCTTGGTTTACGGAAAAAGAAAAACGGGGAGGGGCCAACGCTTAGGTAAACGCGCCTCAGTACTTCACGCACAAGGCTTTATTGGACTCACGGATCTGCTTACGCATATCGGGTAAGCCAATGTGGGAGCTTGCTAGAGGCGAGAGCGCGAATAATTGAGGTATGTTTACCTTAACCTCGTGCCCTTTCTTCGTCCATAAATTCAGGCAGTGCGAGGTACATGAAAACGCGCCAGAGTGGCGAAGCTTGCCCGTTAACTTACTTCACAAGCTTTTCCGAATGTGCATTCGGGAATTGGTTTCGTAGGTCTCTAACTGGCCAGCTTTCGAAAACACGTAACTCGACCAGCCTGTCTGTTTTTTTCGACTTTTCACCAAGGTGAATCTTCAATGCGACGGCACTACTTTGGACGATCCTCCTCTTCCCGATGTCTACATGGCCACGTACAACATCCGACCAGAATCTTTCACTTTCGGCCTGAGTTGCAGCAAATCTTTTCCCGAGAAGAACATTTCCAAGTTCAAGGACGCCCTCGAGCAAGCCTTCACGGATCTCAAAGTGTGCATGGACAGATCTTGTTAAGAGGTTGATTGCGCAACGAATGACCTCTGTCACTTCTTATTTCTTTCTTCGCGGGAGTTAAAGGGCAATACAGCAAATGCAAATTGTTAAAAAAAGAAACCCTGCCCTCCTCCTGAAAAAAAAAATTAAGAAAATGCAAGACAAAAAAAAAAAAGAAGTGGTAAACGGAAATAAAGCCACGCAAACCAGTGGTTTGGAATAGAAGTTTTGTTTTTCTGTATTTTTGAAGAGGAAATGTGCTTGCGCCCTACTTCGTGTTGGCGAGTTGTTAGACATTTCTGTTCTTTCGGTTACTGCAGCTTGCATATATACCACGTATATCCAGGCCTTAATTAGTAATCTAACTTCAAGTGGGCCTGCCAAGCGTTTTTGGTACCGTGTTTTCCCGTGCATAGTTCGCGGACTATGCAAGTTTAAAAGTTGTAATTTTAGGCTGTGCGGACTCTCTACGCGCTCCGACTATAGTGGATTTTTGTTTTTAAATATCGTTGATTATGACGAGACTAGACGGATTTTGTGAATTAAAGAGTATGCTAATGATGATTTTTGCAATTGTAGGCTTTATTGTGAGCTAAGAAAGGAAGCATTTTTAATGGTTTGCCGTGTATAGAGGAGTTTCGCGTCGACTAAGCAACAGGGACAGACAATGCACCGGGTGTGGAGTATGCACCGGGTGCAGACTATATAAGCAAATGCATTTATTTTGACCCCAATTTTGCCCATGGAGACTACGCACCGACTAAATACTATAGTCCGTTAATACGGTATCTCTTTTTTCTTTTTTAATTTTACCGTGGTCTCTTGAAATACGGGTTGTCTCAAATAGCGGCCAGGCTCTTTAAATCAACCGCGAAATTCGGTTTTTTAAGCTATCGCGCCACCATTTTCCGCTGCGTTGCCCACAGGTTGTGTATTGTTTCTATAAATCTGCAAATGGCGTGCTTATTTGAGAAAAAACTAACAAAAGGAAAATGCTTAACTCGAATGGAAACGCAGCGAAGTCACCGGTCTTCAAACAGTACAGCGCCCTATTGATTGAAGACCGGTGGCTTCGCTGGGTTTTTATAAAAGTTAAGCCCTCTTTTTTTTTCTTTTTTTAATTTTTCTCGGGTAACTTCGTTCTTTGAAAATTTTATAAAACAAAATGCACTACCTGTGGGAAACGCTCCACAAAATTGTAGGGCGATAGATTAAGAAACCGAATTTCGCGGTCTATTCAAAGAGCCTAACCGCTATTTTAGAGAGCCGATAGTGTGTGGGACTCTAGAAACCAGGGTTGACGGTAACGCGTTAAAAGTCACGGCGTTACCGGTAACATAGTAACGTACTCGGTACTCTTTCATACACCAACGGGTAACGTACCTACGTTACTTATTTCGTGTAGCGTGTTAGGTAGTTACGTTACTCCTTGCATATTCTTTCCACGACTTTTTGGTGCCAAACTGTATATATTTTGGCGTTCTTTTCTTTTGTAGTTTTTCTCATAAGTATTTACCTGGAACCGTAAATGAAAATACGGTAATTACGCTCAGTTTCTGAATGGATATAATGATTCTTGAGATATGGCTCTTATGCATACCTCTAATGTCAAAAAGCAAAACGTGTCAATTCATAAATTAAAAAAGGGGCACGTTTACGAATCTTTCTAATTACGAAATTAAAGCGCAGCTCTTGAGGCATTTTGATTTTGCGATATACCGTGCTAAAGATATAGTGGCAGAACTATTTATATGTATATATATAGACCTCGTACTGGCTGCGGACATAATATAATATATATATATATATATTATTTATATGTTATATTTATATAAATGTAGAAATATATGTAAATAAATTATTTATTATATTGTTATTTATGTAGGGAGAAAATGGGAGGGTACGGAGCAGGAGGAGGGCAGGGTACGGAACCACCCCCCCTTCTTTTCCTCCCCTCCTAGTCCGGTTACGCCAACGGTGACGGCGACGCCGACGCCCCAAAACACGGGAACGAGCTCTTAAGAGCTGCGCTCTAATATACTGACAGGCTGTTATTTTTTATATTTACAGATTTGTATGAAAGAAGCCTTGAATGCTTTACTTATGAGGTTTCAGCGAGTGAGTTATACGACCAGGGGGACAGTATGTGGCCGAATATTATTTGCGAAAGTTGGCTAATTAATTAAAATGTGTGAACTAACTTTTTGATGTTTGATAAGGCTTCAATTAAAACTTACTGAACGTCATCAAAAACCACTATATCAGTTAATTTTAGAACGACCTGAGACTCGTGGGAAACTCGGGGGCCCACTAAAATTACCACTCGTGAAGCAGGCACAAAGCTAGCAGTGGCAAAACGCGGATGTTTAGATTATCGTCGCGTTACAGTCAAGCGTGCTGGATTCACTGAGGGACACCAATCATTCCCAGTTCGCTGGCAAAATTATTTCAGTGCTGCTTAGTGCTACAAGAATGGAGTTCAGTCTGCTAAGTTCAACTTCTTCTTCACCTTACTACCTTCCATGTTAAAAAATAACCCGCGTCAGTTCTGGAATGTGTTGTCCCATCGAGATAAACCTTCGTCTATTTTATTGAAAACACCTGACGAAACTTTGATCGATGAATCCTTATGCGCCACAACGTTCCAGGAAGTGTTTATTAAGTCCTTTTCTAGCACCCTAAGCAATGTGAACCCAAGCTATAATGTTGATCCTTTTCCACCGATGGACCCTATCATAATCAGCCCCGATGGTGTTCTGAGCATTCTAAACGACCTAAAGCTGTCATCGGCAACTGGTGTTGACGAAATTAACTCGAAATTTCTTAAAGCTACAAATCAGTACTCCTCTGTTATTCTCGCTCATCTTTTTCACCAATCACTTGACACATCATTGGTACCTTGCGACTGGAAAATTGGTAAAGTTATTCCTCTACATAAATCTGGTGATAAGCACTTTCCTATCAACTATAGGCCCATCTCGCTAACCAGCGTTCCCTGTAAAGTTCTAGAACATATAATTTATACACAACTTGTTAACTTCCAAGAGTTGCGGGCATTTTCTAACTCCGCCAGATTATGCGGGCATCTTCCAGCTCCGATTCCATCAGACCCTGTCTCCGGATGAATATGACACTGCAATACTTCGCTCTCGGCAAAAGGGTTTATTCACTCACTCATTGCCTTGGGGGGTTTCGGGATCGGGGGACGGTCATCAGCGAGGCCGGGGGAGAGTCCGCTGCCACAGCAGCTTCTCCGAGTCCCAGCGGTGGTCGTCCACACCGCGTCATGGGGACGTCGTCGTCCAGGGTCGCTGTCCGGTCCCTTTGTCGAGTCGGCCACTCGACGTAGTGCCCGCACTCCCTGCGCCAGCGTCCGGCGCCGTCCGAGCTCGCCTCCATGACCGGTCCCTTGTGAAGTCCGCAGCCCAAGCCCTCTTCCTTTGTCTCCATTCCCCTCTTAAGACCTTCCCAAGTCCTTGTCCCGCCGACCGTCCAATCGGGAACGTTGCTGCGAGCCGACCCTCCGACGTCAGCGCTGGGTGAGGGGGCGCTTGCCCCGTTCCTCCCGGAGAGCTCGGACGTTCCGCGACAGGACGGCGACGGAAAACGGGAAGGTCACGGGGAACGAAGGAGCGCCCGACAGTGCGGCGGCAGGGAGCGGCAAGGTCACGGAGAGCGGAGGAGCCAGGGAGAAGGTCCCCACACCTCCCCTCCCTCAAGGCTCGGACCCCGGGGGGCTTGAGGTTGCGTGGTCCCCAGGACCCTTGGCAGGGAGCTCGTTCAGCTGAGTGTCACCGATGACGACGAGCACCCTCGATGATGATGATGGCATCAGACCAAGCAGGTCAGCGGTGAACGTTGATTCACTGGGAAGCTCGTGACCGACGGAGCACGGTCCACGAACTGGTCCGGAGCACCACAGCTCACAACACGGATGGGCACTCAGGCACACACAACACGCCGGCACTTAAAGTTCACTTCCGTCCCTAATGTAACAGACAGCGAAATGCGCAAAAACGAATAGCTGCACGCTATATCAGACAGCGAGACGAAACCAAAATCTTTCGATCGTTGGACATGCCACAAAATAAAAACAAAACTTTTCATTTCAATACTAACGGGCAGGCAATCATCAAGAACGTCAAGCTACACGTTCAAGAGGTACATAAGAGGAAAACCATTCCTTAACTAAAAAGCATGAGCGCTCATTGTATACTCAAATCGTACATACGCCCACTATACAACATTTGCTCCTATCAAACTCAACCGCATTCTTTTAAAACAGTAAGCAATCTACCAGAGCGTCAGAACCGCACACCTCTGACAACAATATTAATCTCCAACACACTCGCGAAGAACGCACAAAACCTCAAAAACTAAGAATAACCTTCCGTAAAACAGAAACGGTCGCAAATCCTGTCCCGTTCGCCAGGTGCGACCCGGAAGGAACACGCTGCCAACAACCCATGACGGGCACTCATGCACTCGGCGTTCACGCTACCCGATCTACAAACACGCTACAGCCAAGCTACGCAGCACGCCTTCATCAGAAGGGGTAATCACTTTACTGAGAGGCCGTTGTTCCGTGGTGCCGGCCACTTACACCAGTACAAAGGGAACAGTACCTGGATCGTGCGAACAGCAGATCTTATTGGACAGCCCATTTACACGGCTATGTCTGTAACGTCTGGGCATGTACCAGATATTACCGCTTCACTGCTCGGAGGCGACCACCCAACAGGAGTGACAAACGCGTAACGGCGGTCCGCACCGAACCCCGCACGGGCTCGACAACCGCGACAAGCGCATCGACGCACGTGAGAGTTCTCCCCCGGCCAAACCCCGACACCGCATAACTAAAAAGTCTTCCAGCTGATGAAAAGGCCGGCCGGGATCGAGCAATGAAAGTACGCCGTCAACGCGTCTCGCGACTCTTCAACGTTCTCGAATCGAGCAACGTGTCCACATACAAACGCAGTAGGTTATGCACAAAGCTCGCCCCCAGCCAAGTCAACACGCCGCATGACTGAAAAGTCTTCTTGCGACTGTAAGGACAGGCAGGGTTCGAACATTGTAAGTATCCCACACGCGCACCTCTCAACTTCCGCGCAACGAGCGCGATACCAAAATGTCAAATAATCTAACCGGCCAGTTTTGGAGATGGACGAGCTAATAAACTATGTTTGCTCTGCATAAACAGTTTCCGCAGCGTCGAAGTCTATACA